AAGATCGGTTTAAAACGTACATAATTAGATGAGGCAATTTTACTTCCATAATAGATATATAATGAATAAAACATATATAAGTGAACTTGAGACTTGTGGCTTGAAATTAATTTCTTGATTCTTGAAGATATATATAATTTTTATTAAATTCTCTTTAATAATTAAAAATTATCTCTTCCCTGTATGATTATATAATCAAATTAGCCCTGTTAAAGTCAAATCCTTTTTATAGTCACACGTGGGTGGGGTTCAGATGTATGAATTTACTGATCACCATCTTTGGGTTGTGCTGAAATGGACTTTGCTGGAGTAAAAAGGTTCCTACCGCAAGTGAGAACATTTTGCGGTTTTATTGATTTGAAAGAAGGTATTAAAGCAGTGATAGACAGTATATTGTTGCTTCCTGGTTGAAGTCTATTTTAATTGATAAATAAATTCTCTGTCTCTAATGCAGTTGCATTAAAAAAATCTCTTTTATTCCTTATTGTATAATGAAGGTGTTTATATGATTACTGTATTTGCTTTGGTATGCATTCTCACTTCAAATGAGTTGGCGCATGTATATAATTATATATACATAAATATTTTTACGTACAAGCTTAGAAAAAAACAATATTTTGTTGATTTCTAGTTAAATAAAGTATCAGGGCTCTATGGAATATCGTCGTTACTTTACGGCAGGATCACATCAACAATAAATTACATCTATTCCATAATGGCGGTTGCTGCTTTCGTTTATAGTCTCTACGGAATATACAATGTAAGAACTAAAAAGTTTTTATTATTACATATGAAAGATCACATGCTAACAAAGATTAATTAGGAGGATCTAAAGATATTGCGAGTATATCCACAACTATATTGTATGGACTTGGTACTCAATACAATATTCACAATCATATTCGGGTATTCGTGGTATCTAGTTATTGATCATACCCCAAAGGAAGAAGAGCTTTCCTCAGAGTATGCTAATTGGCAAAAACAGGCTTCACCGAATGCTTTGCCCGCTTGGAAAGCCGAATCGAATGTTGCTATATTGTGTTTATTGGTCGTCTGGATAATTCACGTAAGTTATCTCTCCAATTTTAAATTTCTTTATAACAAACAAGTAAATGAATGAATTATCTTGCTTTATTATTAGGTTTATTTCGCCGTAGTAATACAGTCATATGCAGACTATATGGATAAAAAATACTCATTATCAACATCAAATAATAATAATAATTCACGTAGATCAATCTCAGGCGATGCATTACTGTCATCACCATCAAATATTGATAATTCTTATAGATTAACATCAGTCAATGCATTAGCATTATCGCCATCATCAACACTAAACAATGATAATAGCGGCAGTCTTAGGAGTAACGGTAGAGGTGGCAATATTTCTTCGAGGCGTGTCACTATACAGGATTTGGAGGAGGGAGAAGATGAAAATTACGAAAATAATAAGAATGTATTTTAGATGCTTATCTTTAATTCTCTTAAACTATTTATTTATCTTTATTATTTGTGTGAAAATTATGAAAATAACAAGAATGTATTTTAGATTCTTATCTTTCTCTTAAACTATTTATTTATTTATCTTTATTATTTGTATAATTTCTAGAATTCGAATTTATTCTTATATTTTGGATGAATGGGTTCGTCTTTAGAATCTTAGTAATCATAAATAACAATAATAAAAGCTTTGCGGGCAATAACTTTTATAATATCATATATCTTTTTGCCAAAAATGGCAATTTGGGACTGTGCCACAAAATGTCCTCTATAATTTCTTGTTCTACAAACAGATCGCATAGATCGAGTCAATCAAACGAACGACGAAACCAATTCTTTCCTTTCGAGAAGGAAAAACAGAATCATGAATTTGATTTCACGTCGGAAATTAAAACTTGAGGTTTGCTCCTCAAAGACGCAGCAGCAAAACTTGCTATTTTTTCTTCGAGTAGATATCGCACCATGTAATAATAATAATAATATGTTTGCTCGTTCTTTTAGGACTTTTAGCAGTATACAAAATTTAAGGTGTTCTTTTAATAGTAATAATATTTATTATAGCATTAATGTCAACTATCAAAACACTCGTAATATTTCCTCGAGCGGTCGTCGTAATGCAACAGAATCAGCGACAATTTCCGATTTAATATATTATTATTATAATCACCGGAAAATATATAATTATCAAAGTGGTGGTGGTGTTGATAAAAGGACTTGTAGGACAATGACCACCACAGCTTCGACTACCAATACCGTGGAAAGTGACGACGAGACACTCGTTAATAGCTTACTAAAATGTTTATTCATCGGCGATGAGCAACAAATCAACATGCGTGAATCAATTTCACCATCATCATCATCAGATGCTAATACAATTACGGCTAACAAGAATTCAATATCATCGTCAACATGGCCCAACGATCCAAAATATAAAATGGTTGGTCCACTATACGATGTTGCTCTCGCAACACAGAAATATGGAAATGCAATGAACTTAATCGATGTCCTGCGAACGCATGATCAATTAAAACTAATGCCCGTCGAAAAATACAAGGAATTCTACGATAGCTGCATGAGAAATTTTGAGATACCCATGGCCAGACAGGTGTTTGACCTTTTTTTGTCGAAATCGGAAAATGCCGAGAAACTTGAACAAGATCTGAAACTTGCTCAACATATGGTCGCTGGTGAGTTTCTATTGGCGGAAGCATGCCTTAAGGAGAGAGCATGTGATGATCCGTTACCATTTTCTTTGGAATCAATATTTAATGAGTTGATAAGGAATTATCTCGAAAGAAAGAATGTTGTAATGATTGATAAATTATTGGTGAGGATGACGAGGGATTTTGGAATACGTCCCTCAAAGCAAACTATTCATTCCATAGTAATGTGCTATAGAAACGTGGATTGTATTCTAGAAGCGAGATCGCTCTTTGACATAATACATGAGCATGAAATAGAACTCGAGTCATTAACCTACGACTATTTGCTCAATATGTTTGTAAACTATGGCATGAGATATCCAGCAAAAGTTTTGTTTGAAGATATGTTAAAGATGAAGATTACGCCCTCTATCTATGCATTTTCAAATATTATGCACCTGTCTGCTACGAATGTTAATAATTTGATCAAATATCAAAATCTTATGGAAGAATTGGGAGTACAACCAAATGCTCATACTTATACGATTTTGATCGGAAATTTAGGGAAAGCTGGCTACATCGAAAAAGCTGCTTACTACTTTCGTGAAATGACTGAGAAGAAAAAGATAGAACCTAATCGTGTAACCTATACGGAGTTAATGAAAGTTAGCACAAAAAATACAAAAAATATGCGGCACGAGGATTTGAGCTCAGATTTTTTTGAGATGATTAAAAAAAGCGGGAGAGCACCCGATGTTGTTGCTTATACATCATTGATACAGGTAAAAGCCGAAACTGTGGGTTTATCTGAAGCGCTAACGATCTATCAAGATATGTTGCGAGACGATGTGAAACCTAATGTACAAACTTTCACGGTACTTCTTGATGCTTGTATTCAAGCGGGTGAATTTGAAACCTGTTATAAAATATATGAGGTGATGCAATCAACGGGCATTCAACCAGACTTACACATATATTGCACCTTATTGAATGCCTTTTGTCAAGACAAAAAAATTGATCGAGCTGTGTCCCTGTTCCAAGATATACTTGAGCGAGGAATCGTTCCAGATCAATCGTGCTATAATTGTCTAATGCATGCGTTCAATCGTAATGGAATGCCAGAATCAGTCTTTGATTTCTATAATATGATGAGAAAAAACATTAAGCCAGACGAAGTAACAATGCGTATTCTTTGGGACACGTGTTATTTTCATAAAAGATTCGATGAGGCGCGAGACTTTTTCCGTGAAGAAATGGAAAAGCTAACTCAACCTCCTTACGATTATGCACTCATGAGATATATACAATTACTTAGTGAGGATAAAAAAATCATAGATGCGTTAACAATCTTGATATTAGCGAAAGAAATGAAGGTTCGGCTTAAGCAACATGTTGTCTATAAAATATTGTTAAATTTTAAAATTCACGGATCTCCTGAAATTTACAACGAAGTGCGGGATATTCTCGAAGATCAAACTTATCTTCGCAAAAAAATACCAACTAGAGAACGATTTGATATGTATATAAAGAAGCTAAAGTGGAAATATCAACTTTCCAAAACTCTTGTTCCCAATAAATAGACATTTTCGTTATTAATTATTGTATATAGCGTTTTATAAATTTCGAGACTAATAGAATAACACGATACCGACGCAAATAGAGAATCATCAATCTTACATTACCTTACTCTTGTCATATGAAGGCTGATTAAAAGGGAACTTTTGAAAAAATAATTCATTGTGTTTAATCAAAATTAAGGGTCTCTTGCAGCAGCAATGAATCAAAGAACCATTTCCTACGTGTGAGAAAAATATCAAAAGTCACTTAGAAAAGGATCGTAAAAAACTAAGAGTGCAAATAACATAAATATCATTCAATCTATAAATAATAAATAAATAAATAATGAATTGATGAGCTCTAGTTAAATTTCGGGTAAGTCTCAATTTTTTTGCAATCAAGTTGTCTATTTCATCATAGCCTTTTACTCTTTCGACCTTCTCTTTCTAATTTAGCTTTTTGTTCTGCAGCCTTGGCTAGAAAATTAATAAAAGTATATTCATGAATTCATACAATATAACGGAGAGGATCTGATTAAAGGAATCATGAATTTACCTTCAGCTTCAGCTTTCCGCTGTTTGGCCGCTTCTTCACGTTGCTGTCGGATAATTGCCAGACGTGCCAAATCAGCTTTAGCTTGGTCTGTTTTGCCTTCTGAATGAAGTTTCCAATACCGTTGCCTCGCAGCTTCTTTCTCAGCTGCCTCCCTATTGAGGAAGAAGTGTCAAAAGAGATACTTATTTGTCGAAATGATACACCAATTTTTAATCAGAAACGAACCTTTCCCGACGTGTCAATTCTCGTGGTTCTGTAGATATTTCGGAGGCCTTTAGATTATCTTTCTTAGCTCTGTTTGGATTTTCAATTTCAATTATGGGTTGTTTTGTCTAATGATCATCAATTAAGTATTTTAATAAACGGTTTTTGTGCATATTCATGAATTAACCAAAAGAAAACCGATTGATACTTGCAACTTTGTCGCCATCGTCATCTTTATCGGAGCTTGACCCTGATTCCAATTTAGAAGCTTTATCTTGCTTTCTACTATTGCCGCTCGCTTGTTCTTCCTCACTATTGCTATCACTCGTGCCATCATCTGAAGAACTATTACTTTCTTCCTCTTCTTTGTTATCCCTATACTAATAGAAATAAAAAACTCTAAATAATGAAATAACGAGGCTTAAAGAAGAAAACTTGGTATGATGACTCACTACACTGAAAGAACCCAACTACTTGCCTCACCCCACATATCAGTCTCTTCGTTCTTTGCGGCTGCTAACCGACGCGCAGGTGTAAATTTGCGTCCGCCGCCGCGCGTGATTTTTCTCTTCCCACGATAATGTCCTCCGCGACCTGACATATTAATTGGTGTTTCTATAGCTTCTAAATAAATCGAGTAAAACTCCACGAATTAGGAGATAGTTTCGCGATATTTTATGGCGCAACTTACCGATGTCTTTCGATATTTTTATCGGTCACAGGTAATGTCTTATGATCTGTAATGTGATTGGTCCGGTGCAAAAAAAATATAAATATCTATCCTATTTAACTATTTAAATTTAATTATAAAAATATTTTTGTCTGGAGCTAAGCATGGGATATTATAATGTATAATTTTTAATTGTTTTATTTAAAAAATATATATATATAATAGCTAATAGAATTATGAAAAGATTGAGTTTTTTAAAAAATAATTTTGTTTTATATTAAATAAAGAATATAATTTATAGATTTTTTTTGAAAGAGTTGTTCTAATTCTTAATTAAAAATGAAATATAATTAGAGAAATTTTTGTAATTACTTTGCAAATAAAATAGCTCTTTTAAAAAAATATAAATTAAATTATAAATTATATTTTTTAAATAAAATTATAAATTTTAATATAAAAAGAATATTTTAATTTTTATTTATTAAAAATTAAATTTATTAATAAAATATAATAAAAATCAAACTTTTTTATATAAAATTTATAATTAATTAAGAAATAATATTTATTTTTTATATTAAAATAAAGTTTATTAGTTATAGCTTAATATATATTTTTTCAAATCTTTTGTATTAACTTTATAATTAGAATAACTTTTTTAAAAAAATCTAAAAAGATATATATTAAACTATAACAAATAAATTTTATTTTAATATAAAAATAAAAATTATTTCTTAATAAAATTATAAATTTTAATATAAAGAGAAAATTTTGATTTTTATTATATTTTATTAATAAATTTTAATTTTTAATATATTACTTTTAATTATTATTATATATAATAATTTTAATAAATTTAATATAATATTTAATATTTAATTAAAATATATATTTATTATATATTTAACATATTTATATAATATAATAATAATAATTAAATTTATTAATTAAATAATATGAAAATTAAAATATTTTCTTTATATTAAACTTTTTAATTTTATTAAAAATATTTTTTATTCTATATTATAATTTATATTTTATTTGAAAAAGTTATTTTAATTTTAAAATTATTATAAAAATTTTTATTAAAACTTATTTTAATTAGATAAAATTTTTATAATAACTTTGTAATTAGTATAATTTTTTTTAAAAAAAATTAAAATATTTAAAAAAATATATATATTATAAATTTAATTTTTAATATATTATTTTTAATTATTATTATAATTTATAAAGTTATACAGTAACAATCAAAAATAATACAATGCTTAAATTTTTTATTAATTATAATTAGTAAAATATGTATATTCTCTTATATATAAAGTTTTTAATTTTAATAACAAATATTTTTTATTTTTAGCTCAAAAAATAGCTAATGTTCTTTAGTTTAACATATATTTTTTTCAGATTTATTTACTAGCAACTTGTTCTAATTGTATATAAAGTCAATTAATTTTTACTAATTATTAATTAATAAAAATTAATTAATTTCATATGCAATTAGAATAAGTTGCTGGTAAAAAAATCTGAAAATTTTGAAAAAAATATATGTTAAACTAGAGAACTTTAGTTATTTTTTGAGCTAAAAATAAAAAATATTTGTTAGTAAGATTAAAAACTTTTATATATAAGAAAAAATACATATTTTACTAATTATAATTAGTAAAAAATTTAAGCATTATATTATTTTTGATTCTCACTATAAATTAATAATAATAATATTTAAAATTAATTTTAAGCTTAAAAATTATAAAATTTATTTTTTAAAAAAATCTAAAATATTTAAAAAATATATATATTATAAATTTAATTTTTAATATATTATTTTTAATTATTAATATTTAAAAATTAATTTTAAGCTTAAAAATTATAAATTTTATTTTTTAAAAATAAAAACTTATTTTATTTATTATTAACTAAAGTAATAATTAAAATTAATATATTAAAAATTAAATTTATTATAAAATATAATAAAAATTAAAACTATTTTTTTATATTAAAATTTATAGTTTTATTATAAAATAATTTTTATTTTAAAATAAAAATTTATTAATTATGATTTAATATTTTTTTTTAAAAAAGTTATTTTAATTATAAAGTTAATATAAAAATTTTATTAAAATTTAATTAATAAAAATTTTTATATTAACTTTATAATTAAAATAACTTTTTTAGAAAAAAATTTAAAAAATTTGAAAAAATATATATTAAATAATAATTTATAAATTTTATTTCTTGATAAAATTATAAGTTTAATATAAAAAAATTTTAATTTTAATAAAAAAATAAAAAATAAAAATAATAAAATATAAAAAAATAAAAAAATAGAAGAATTAAGTTAAATAAATATATATATATTTTAATCAAAAAATAATAAAAAATATATAATATAAATATTTATTATATATAAAATTATTTTATTATGATTATAAACAAGATAAAATATAATATAAATAATTTTTAATTTTATAACTTATGATAATTTTTATTATTTAAAAGTATTTAGATTTGAAAGTAAAAGTACAGAACAAAAAAGTTATATTTATAGTAAAAGAAATGAATACAAAATATAAATAAATTAATATAAATTTTTAATTTAAATTATATATATGTTAAACATAATTAATTAACTTAATTTGTATTTTTAGAGAGTAACTAATTATAATCCAATAATTAATAATGTAATAAATAATAATATAAATAATAAATAAAAAGAATAAATAAAAATATAAAGAATTATATCTAATTAAAAATATTAATAATCTAAATTAGTAATATAAGTATATATAATAATTATCTGCATAATAATATAAAATTAATAAAATTAAAAATATAAAATAAAATAAAATATTTTTAAATAATATTTAAAATTATATAAATTATTAATATTATATAATTATTTATTAATAATATTAATAATACTTTCAAAAATATTTATTAATTAATTATTAATTAAAAAATAAAAATATAAAAATTATAAATAAATAATATAAAAATAATAATAAATTAAATTATATATATAAAATAAAATTAAATAAAAATAAAATTTTTAGATAAATTTTAATTAGAATTATATAATTCTTGATAAAATTATAATAATATAATGTAGTATTTTAATAAGATAATATAGTAATTATAGCTTAATAATTTATAAAGAATAAAATTTATTATATTAAAAAAAATTAAAAAAATTAAGAAATTAAATATATTATTTTATAATATTATATTATATATAAAAATTATTAAATCTTTTTATAATTATAATTATTTAATTTTGTTTTATTAAGAATAATAATTATAAAAATTTATTTATAAATATTTAATTCTAGAACTAAATTTTATTTATTTTTAATTATAAATTATTAAAATTTATTATATTATATTAAAGTATATAATAAATAATTAAAAAATTATAAATATTAATTTAAGTTTAATTATTATTTAAATATAATTTATATTATTTTATTATTTTATATTCAAATATAATATTTAATTTTATATAAAATATTTATAAATATTATTAAATTTAAAAATAAAATTCTTAAATAAAATTTTTAATATTATATAATATTATAAAAAATAGAATTAATAAAATATATAAAAATTAAAAATTTATTTATTATATTAAAAGTTATAAATAAATATTTTTATTTTATAATTTATATAATTTTTTAAAAAAATATTCTAATTAAAAAATTTTTTTAATTAAATTTTATTTTTAATTAAAATATTTTTATAATAACTTTATAATCAATTATAAATTTTATTTATTAATAAAATTATATACTAATTTTTAAATAAAAATTTTAATATAATAATAAAATAATTCTTAATAATTTTTATTTTTAAAAATATTTTTAGTTTAATATTTAATTTTCTTTAGAAATATAACTTAATCTAATATATAATATATAATAAAAAAAATTGAATATTTTAATTTTCTCTATAAATATTTATTTAGATAATATAAAAATTTAAATATATATATTTGAGAGTATAATAAATAACTTTTTTAAGACTACTTAAATACTTATCTTATTAAAATTTTTTATAACTTATATTTTTAAAATTAAAAAATTTTAATAATAAGAAAACTTAAATAAATTTTTATAAATAAATTTGATTATTATTTTGCAAATTAATTTTAAGTAAACTTATTTACTAGATTATTAAGTATATATATTTAAAATTTTATATAATTTAAATAAATATTTATTGAATAACAAATAAAAAAAGATTAAAAAAGCATTTTAAATTTTTTATAATCAATTTTTTTAAAAAAAAATTTAATAAAAAAATATTAATTATAAAAAATTTTATTAAGATAAGCTATTAAATACTTTTAAATAAACTTTTTTACTAGATTATCAAGCATATATATTTAAAGTTTTATATGAATTAAATAAATATTTATTGAATATAATCAAAAATAAAATATCTGATTTTTTTTATTATACATTATAAATCTTATTTCTTTTATACATTAAAAATATTTAGATTTATTTTTGCTAAAAATTTATAATAATTTTTATTTTGAATTTTTATATTTTTATATATTTAAAAAAAAATAAATTTGAAATTTTTTTAAGAAATAAAATTAAAATTAAAAATATAATAAAAGAATATATTAATATTTTTTTAATAAAATTTTTATAATTTTTTAATTATAAATCAGTATAAAAAGATTTATATCTTAATATAAAAATCAATAATTATTTTTAATAAAAATTTTTATATTTAAATAAATTCTAATATCTAATAACTTAATTAAATAAGATAGAATTAAAATTTTATTTTGAAAAAATAATTTATTAATATTTATTTGAGATATAAATCTTATTATACTGACTCATATTATAATTTTAAATTTTATAAATTTTTATATATATTTAGTAAATAAAAATTTATAATCAGTAATAATTTAAATAAAATAT